ACTAGGGTGCTCAGACGCGTGCCGCGGCAGAGCTTGCCATCGCTGCTCAACTGAATGCGCCCCCGCCTGCTCGTATGTTATGGCCTTCCAGAGTACTATATGCACGTCTGACGCGCTCACTCTATAGGCTCTGTGTTTGACGTCGACGATGGCGCGTCATTACTCATGGCGTTCAGAGGCCTGCGCGCGGAGGCTGCTACTGAGGGTGCTCTCCACGAGAGCGTCGCGAAGGAGCTTCAGACTGCAGTGGCTGAGCCCTTTGAGAAGTGGGCCGAGGGGTATAAGGTTTGTTCATCTGTCGGTGGGCGGGCACGAATGTGATCACTCAACACCTCACGGTTGACAGGAGCGCCTTCATGGAAGCAAGGCAAACCTGCTCGATGGCTGGATGTACTCTTATGAGGTTGCACAGACCGAGGTGCGTAAATCACTTCACGCACATAAGCGAAGAACGCGTCCTAACTGCTGAATAGGTCAACAAGCTTAAGAGTGACTACCTGACCAAAACCCGGAAGGCGGACGAGGCCGAGGATGAGTGAGTCGCCGCCCATGCCCGTGCATTTATCATCGCTAAGGCACATGCACAGCGCCCGCTTTGCGCCCATCACACACCCTGTGGGCGACCAGTACACTTCGTCGCCGAAACTGAAGCCCCTCGGCGCGAACCCGAATGCGGCCCCGCGCGCACCTCAGCGCCAGGCGACGATGTCCGAGCGCATCACGCAGCGCCTCAAGGAGTTCCGCCTCAACGCTGGTACGCAGGCGCACCCTCGCGCCGCCCCGAAACCAGACGTGCAATTTGATGCGGATATCGAGGAGGAGAAGGCGGGCCCTAAGCTCGACAAGGGCAAGGGTCGTGCTACCGACAGCGGTGCAAGCACTCCGCAGCGCGTGTTGTCGCCGCCGCCCATTGAGATGCCGCCGGCAGCAGCGAAGGTCGCGCCGCCCAAGCTGGAGACAGACCCGGTCCCGCCACCGCCCCTGCCGCCCCTGGATGTCGCGGGCATCTCGATGACGCCCACGGAGGTGTCGGCGCTGATGAAGAAGGCGAAAGAGGAGCTTCCCTTGCGCCCGGTGCGCTTCCCGCTTTTGGGCGAGTACCAGGACTGCTTCTCGGGCGAGGAGTTCGCGAGCTGGCTTAACACGAACGTGAAGGCGTTCGAGGGCAACCTGGACCACGCCGAGGTCGCAGCGCGCGTTCTTACCGAGAAGTACAACCTGCTCCGCCGGCTGGGCGAGCTCGGGAATGACTTTGAGAACGCGGACGACTCGTTCTACCAGTTCCGGCCCAAGGTGAGGCTTGCATTATGCGTTGTGTTTGCTCTGTTTAATGACAAGGGTTTGGTAGGCTTTCACGCTTGATGCTTCTCCTCCTCCGCCCAAGGCTGCTGGTGCTCAAGTCCTTACGCCCATGGACAAGTTGTCTCCGCTAACCCAAAACATTGCTGAGCGTACCGGCGGATTGGCGAACCTCGTGTCGAAAGCGTTCGCTGCAAACACGGAGCCGCCCTACGTCCGTGCCCGGCGCGACGCGGAAGTTGCCGACCAGGAGTACCGTGTCGCGGTACGGAAGCTCGACAGGCAGCGTCTCGGCCTTGAGGAGCGCATTGAGGACACCCTCAAGACTCTGCAAAAATGGGAGCTGGACAGGCTGCGCGCTGTCAAGACTGGTAAGTTCGGCGCGACCCGAGTACGGACGTAATCTGAATTTTGGCGTTTCAGTCCTCACGCAGTACTACAACACGCTCGCGAAGGTGTCGAAGGCGTACAGCACGGCGAACGAGACGATCGAGATGCTCATCGCCTCATACCAGCCCGAGCAGGATATCAAGGTGCTCATCGAACGCTACCGCACGGGGCCCTTCCGGCCCGTCGCGCAGGTGTACGAGTCCATCTCGCACGACGAGTCCGACGTCGTGTTCGGCATCGACCTTCGCCGCTGGGCGGACAACGCGTACTGGCACGTCGCCGGCCCCGGGGGGTTGTGGGCAAGCTGGGGGACGAGTTTGAGAACGCGCGGGCGGGCGGGCGGGCGAGGGGTAGCGAGCATGTACATATACGGACGACACAAAATATATTTGGTTTGCAACGAGAGGTCGGTGTGTGTGTGTGCGTGCGCGCGCGGGTGGCGGTGTGCGGTGGCGATGCGAGGCAGGCGAGCCGGCGGTGGGTGCTGGTGCTCGCGGGTGTGTATCTAGATCTCGACTGGGACTCGGGGGGCAGCGGTGGGGGGACTTACGAGAGAGAGGATTCACGGCCAGGACAAGATTTACGGACTCTGCGTGTGGGGTGGATAGTAGTAAGTGCGTGGAGTGGGTATTAGGAGGTGTGTGGGGTGGGTAGTGAGTCTGGAGTGGGCATCGGTAGGGAAGACTTGAGGGTCTCGCTCTCGCACTCGGGCTCGACAAAACGCACGGAAAACTCGCATTATGGACTACTAGTGCTAAGGACATCTCGACAACGCAGTTCGCGCAAAGGACGACCGCACGAAAACCGTCCAGAACTCGTCGCGCACTCGGTCGGAAACGGGCGCCTAATCAAGCGTGGCTCGAAACGATGAAGTCTTGCCGCTGTGCTCTCGAGTCTCTGTCACGGTCGTCGAGTCGGCTCGCCCGCCCTGGTGGGCTCTCTCCGCACGATTTTCAACTCTGCCGTCTGCCAGCAGGAAAATCAGCCGCGAGCTGTAGAAAAGGAGGGGGTGCGTACCGTGTCCGCGCGCGCGGACAATGCGGCCGTAGCGCATTTATGAGTCTCCTGGCGCCATCCGACACGTACTACAAGAACTCCCTCTGCGGATCGTCACAGCACTGCCTCGAAGCGAGCCCCAAGCTCGGAATACCCGTGCTGGGCGCGCCATGTACGAGTCGACCACCTGCGACGAGCGTTCTCCAACGGCGGTGAGACGTCCGGAATGCAGAGTCGCTGCCACGCAGGCGCTGTCGCATGAATACCATCAGTACTAGTCATCAAGGGGCACCAAGCGACTGAGCGGCTTACCTGCGAGTTTGGTGGACGACTCGCACGTCCGCGCCAAGTCTCGTCATCTCCATCGACCGCAGACACATCATAAATACTCCATAATCCCATCCGCATGACCGTGGATGGCCCTCGACGCCGCGTCCGGATGAGCGCAAGACGCGCGCACTCGGCCGCATGCGGGCGCCTATTTCGACAGAACTCGAAACTGCAAAGGCCCGCGCCCTCGACAGCTGCCTTCTGCCACCTCTCCCACTCGCCCCCGCTGTATAGACTCGGCGCTGTGTCTGCGCGCTCCCCCGACGCGCTTCTTCCCGCCAAATTTCCCTCTGCACACCGGCGAAAGTCATCAGTCGGGAGCCCGAACCTGCTAGGGACAAACAGTACGTACCACCTCCCCGATGCACCCGTCGGCGCGTGTCCGCGGCGCGAGCGCATGCGTGAGCTCGCGGTGCGCGGCACGGCAGATGGGGATCGCTCGCGGGCCACCGGCGCCTATCCTGTCGATCTGCGAAACGTCCAAGTCCCGCATCGCGGGTTTCTTCTGCCCCACCACCTCTCCCCTCCCTTGCATGTCTGTCATCCCATCTCTGGTGGCCGCAGAATGCGCCCGTAACGCCGGATTTGCTCTCTGCAAGGCTAGCAGTGAGCAATAGGCCTCGGAGAGTGTAGACCAAGAACGTACTACTCACGCAGGTCTAATTAGGAGCGGTGATTGAAAGTTTCGACTTCGCGCGGCCCCGACAAGGTGCACTTAGAGCGCGAAATGTCTCTGAACGCACTCCGGGCCCGCCGGCGTCGTACTGCACAGACATGGTGCTCGCCTCGTGCATGCCCGGCAGCCCGCGAGGAGAGAGAGGACAGTCCCCTATCTGAAAGCTCAAAAGTAAGTGCTTGTATCTGAACAACACGAGGTCAATGCATACCCATACCTATCTAGTGGGCGACTAATTCTCGACCTCAACTTGATGCGCCTGGGATACGGGGTATAATGTAAGAGCATACGCACACCGTGGAGTCTCGTACTGAGTGAGCGGTGGCTTGTTTTTGTGAGAGGACACGAGGGAGGGTTACAATGTGTCTCGCCGGCTGTAATGTGTTCGCAGGACGCTAGCGCCCAAGCGAGGCTACTCCCGAGAGTGAAAGGCGAGTCCCGCTCGCGACTTGTCGCAACTCCGCCGCCCTCCGCCCACGCCCCCACCCGCACCTGCTCGGCCGTGTATGGCCACATCTTGGTAAGTCCAATATGTACGTGAACCCTGCTTTCGGCCAAATCAAGATGTGAGAAATGCAACTGACAAGTCCGGTACGTACCGTGAGTCAGAGCTCGCTACCGCAACAGATGGACGTGCAAGGTATATTCGAGTGTATTGCCTTCTCTACATGCACGAGTCCCGGTAGCCTTGTGCCTGATATGTCGGGGACTTCGCGCAGCCATCATGCAGATGACAGGCTTCGGCAAGGGGCTAGGTGTTGCCTTCATTTGATCGCTGCTCTTAGCTATCCAGGGGCGCGAAAGGACGAGGAAAGAGGTGGAAAACACTGCGAGGCGGCCCCAAACGCACTGAGTTCCAGTTGGAATGAGAAGAGGAAGGAGGGCGCCTAAGATGACACTGCTTACCATTCCAAGAGCCGCGCGCCACACCTTGCCAAGTCCCACCACAACCCCTCTCACGCCCTCGCTCTTGCTCTCTCGGACATGAAGGCAACACCTACGACGTCAGACAAGTCAGTAAGAGTGCGCGTGTATGTGCAAAGGGCGATGTCTGGGTACGCACCAAGTCTCCGCACTCGGCGTGTTGCTCTGTCAACCCGGAGCACCCGCGAACGTCCGCGGCCTGCACGGTCACATCTCCCGTGTTCCTGCACTCGAAAGTCGATGTTCAGCTGTGAATGTTTGCAGGAGCACGCGAAATATGACGCACTGGCAGGTAGAACGGGAGCTGATACATTCCGGCCCGAGCGTGAGCGTGAGTGTCCTGCTAGCATGTATTGCTCAGCCTGCGACCACGGCTGCGGGCAGCCCTGTCGAGGTTGTCATCGTCGTTGCACGTAAAGGTGGGTGCTGCTCGGGATACGGGCGCAGTTGGATGTGTTTGTCTTCGGACGTCTCATCATTTGCGCGCGCCCAATATGCACTGAAGACATCATAAATACAGTGGGTAAGCAATCAACACTTGGTGCTGTGCAGCTAGGAGGTACTCACCATCCTTCCACTGCAGATACAATGGTTCACAACTGCGACATCGTGCAAGGCTGGCCCATGCCCACCCGAGCGCATGATCCACTAGATGGAGCCTGCGTGGGCAACACCTGTGACGGTACGCCGCCGCATCCCCGTCGTTGATGGGAGGTGTTCGCAGATGCGCTCGAGCCGGTCGAGGAGGGCAAGTGTACACAATTGAGCAGGAGGAGGGTGATGCAGGTGTGGGCGATGGGAGGGGCATTGCATGGTGAGAGAGTGGGGATGAGGTAGGCAGAGAAAGGGTGCCCGGTGCAGGGACATGTTCCGCCATGAGCGTCCCATTGGGCCCTGAGCACATGCGGTTGGCATGGGGCTGCAGATGTGCGGTGCCGCTACTATGCCGCGTGTGGGCGCGCCGCGGCTGCCACGGAGGATTATGGCAAATGATGGCTGCCTGCCTACAGCGCCCACGGCAAAATCTAGGCTTCCATATCTCAGAATTACGATAGCAGCCCCCCTTCGCTTGGACTATATCTCAACCTCCGTCTATATACCTGGCCAATCAAAACATGCATTTGTGGGAAATTGTGGCTGCGGTGTGATCGGAAATGCCTCAAATGGTCAACACTGTTCAGGGCTCCCTCTGATATATTTATGCTCACTATTGCTCTCGGCCGCGAGCCTGGAATGCAGATAATCATAACACACACGGCCTTTGCTAGCCAAAGCTCTGGATCGCTCTCAGGGTTCTCCTGTCTGTCCAGAACTGGAGGGGACCAGGAATAATACTGTGTGCAGCACACTGCTCCCCACACTATTGATCCTGACCTCTTTACTTCTAGTTTCTTGGACACTATACCGAGCATGCAAATCAATAGTGGATCAAGATGTGTGATACATTCCATGTCAAACGAGCGCGGCCGAAAGGCCGAATATTTGCACGTATCATCGGACATGCCATCCAGATCTTAGATGTTGGAGCCGCGGGCGCTCTCGCTTGACCCTGCATCGCGATCTCGTACTCCTACATCACTTGCATGCGTGCCATAACTGTCTACTAAACGCCGCGCGAGCGTTCGGCCAAGTCGCTGTGCTTGTTGTTGTTGCAGAAGCCAAGGTGTGAGCGCGAGAGCAAGCCTGACATGGCCATCTACCGACCTGCCTTTTCCGGTAAGAAGGTTCGACCTGTGCATGCGCTCGACACTTCAAGTGCGGCGACTCGTAGACTTCAACTCTCGCTTTCACCACCACTGGCCACTCCACCGGTCCATTCGGACCATTCCATTGCACTCGTTTTCAGTCCAGTGATGGTGCTACATAATCCACATCTTGACATAATGTGCAATGCTGTGATGATCTCGGGCATTAAACTTGTCAGGACTAGCCGCCGTGTACCTGCTCACTCACTCTCACCTCAACGACGGACCCGATGCTGCTTTACCAGGCCTGCGTGAGAGGCTCCCGTGATGAGGGATTCAACAGCCTGGGAAAATTATGCCAAACAGCGTCTTCTAGTCAGTCCGAAGGCTTTGAGCGGTCATAACTTGAGTGCACCGACTCAGCGTGTTCTCTTGTGTCATGGGTATGATGTGCACTGGGAGTGGCTCTCACCAGTGCTGAGACAAGTTCATTAAACTGTGTGGTCATTTTTATAGCAATGGTGAGCTTAGTTTCAATATACGTGCCCACGATTTACGGCACAAATGCACAGCGAAAAGGCTACAAGACATGCTCGTGCCGAAACCGTCACGAACTCGGTCGATGATGAACATACTGATTGTCAGATAGCCTTCATGTTTTGCAGAGTATGGCTCGACTCTTGAAGACATTCAAAGGCTACTGCACGAAGCACGGGACGGTGCGGAGGAGCGGGTCAATGTCAAATTGTGCAAGACAGCGGTGTGCTCAGCACCCCCAGCGTGCTCCCTCTCGCACTCGACGAGGTAAGTGGAGGCACACTACCATCTGTACCATGAGCTTCATTTGTGAGTTTTTGATACAGCACAGGCATGAATGTCTTCCCCTGCGACAAAGACACTGTCCAGCACAACACCTCGATGCATAGAACGACTGGAATCCATGGTGCACGCAGTGAGTACGGCAGTCCGGCATCGCCGAATCATGCAAGATCATCATTGACTTTGTTTGTTGCCCCTAGCGCGACGTCGCGAGGGCAACACCTTCGTCTATCTCGACACTGGTGCGGAGCTCGCGAGACAGGTTTCATGAACGAGGGGCACATCAATGCGAGCGGCAAGATGGGATGCAAAGCACGACCCCCGCATGCACATGCTCGCCCGAACAAGGCCGTCCTGGCGAGTGTGCTATGCCGCGTGCGCGTGCGCGCACACAGGCTGCGGGAGGTAGTGCAAGGGCGGGATTCATTGAGAGGTTCGCATGGCAGCATCAGCGCGAACGGGCGCATAGGAGCCTGTCTGTGAATATACAACCGCGCACTTCTGCAGTTGCAGCCACAGCTGCGATTGCACACGGTCCATTGGCGACCACTCTTTGTGACGCCGCGGGGGACGCCGCGCTTGGGGTTTTGGCACAGTACGCACAATACTACCAAACATACCTACTCGCGACTCGGAGCACTGCACGCGTGCAGTACGAGGCCGCACAAATTATATATCATGACTGCGTACATGTGCTGAGGTCTGATGCATGCTGAGAGGGATCTGGGAGGACTGTTACCCCAACGTCTGGGGGCGGGCACCCACCATCGCTGCTCCCGCCCCGCCGAGCCTGCGGGATGTGCCCGCTGATAGTGTACCTAGCCGGATGCGATGGTGCTCGTAGACGGTGTTCCCTCGAAACGGGGGCGGTCCGTGGCACCTCGCGTACCGAGCGCCGGCCGGCGTCCGAAGCGAGCGCGTCCTGGATCTGTGAATAGAGACAACGGTGACACACGCCGCACCGCGTAAGTACACATTGCCCTCCCGCGGTACGTCCGTGCGCATCCTCTCCCGCTCGCCCCGTATCTCTCGGCTGAGCGTGTCGTGTCCTGGTTGGCACGCCGCCCGGCGAACTCGGTGGGTTGCCTGGGGCCCCGACCATCTCGTAAGATCATTGCCTTGCCCGGGCAAATTGTCGTCTCCGCACGGCCGGGGAGGGCTGGGCTCGAGTGTGTGGTCGCCGCACGGACCATGGTACGACGGGAACGGAGGACGGCCCTGAAGCATGTCGAGGATAAGTACGGGTTAGGTTACGACGCGGGCGTGCTCACCCTCTCCCCTCCCTCCCTCACTTGCTCGCAGCGATGTCGCCGGGCTCTTCTCCTCCCTCTGTCGCCGTCCGCTCCCGCGCATCGCGAATCGCGGACTACGCCACTGTTTGCCCCACAGAACATTACTCTACACGCAGCGGTACGTCAGCATGTCCTAGACATCCGTGACTGGACACTTACCCTGCGGTTCCAGCTATGTGCCAAACGGGAGGGGGCGCGCATCCAGGACACAAGTCGCGCTCCGCGGGACAAACGCAGGACGTGCGCGCGAGCGTCGAGCTGCAGTTCAGGCTTGCGGCGGGCGTTGTGGGGCTCGGTACGTGCTCCCGTCGCAGCTTGTACCCGTGCTGACGTGCTGGATCGTGCTGGTCACGGCGCACGCGGTGGGACGCAAGGGGTTGCGCCTTGCTGGCACAAGGCGTCGTTCGGGGCGTCGTGTGCTGGGTGGCCGTCGAGCAACGTCCTAACCGCCTCGCATGTCCCTCTAGAGCTGCAAATAGTAGCCTGGCCATCGCGAATCACGGTACGTCAGTGTATACCCCAGAATGTGAGAGCGCGCCTGACATGCCTGCTCTAGCTCTGCGGCGGGCGGGCGCTGGACGTGTGCAGACAAAGACTGCATCGTCTTCACCTGGCTCCGCGAACTGATGCCTTCGGGGCTGCACTGTGAGGCGAGTTAGTCTGGTGTGCACATACGATGGTATGCCATGCACCTTGCCTATCCAGATGGCCGCGCAGCGGGAGGTAGTCCTCGGTGAGGTGCCTATGACCTTGGCATTCGTCTGTCGCGTCATGCACGCTGCTGGAAACCCACAACGTAAGCAGATTGCTCGCGCGCGCATGGCAGCTCGTCGAACTCACCGCTCTGCCTCATCCCCTGTAGCTTCGACATGCCACCTGCGATACCACGAGAGGGCGGGCGAAGCACGGCGCAGCGGGTGAGGGGCGTGCGGTACAAGAGGTAGCAGCATGACACTATGTACATACGCGTATGGTTAGGGTAGCAGGGGCGCGCAGGCACAGCACGCTACGGTACGGTACGTGCCTAGGGCACACCGCTCCCGTCCTGCGCTTCCGCCTGCCCTGCTGTGACGCACCCGCGCGTCCAGTGCAGCTGCGGTACGTGCGCCCCTGCCCGCTCCTCGGAACAGAGTGCTGAACTCACCTTTTCTCGTGCCCTCAGCGCGCCCGTCACCCGCGCGCTCTCCACGGCCGTCGCGCCGTCGCGCCGAGTCCTCTGCAATAGCAGGTGAGTCCCGCCAAGCCAGAGCGCGCGCGGGGGGTGGCTGACCTGTTCATACCCAGCGTGAACGTGCCATGCGACGGCCGTCGGAGGCAGCACCCGCGGCGGCGGTGGGTGGGCCAGGTCGCGCCCAGCAGCGGGAGGAGAAGGCGGGAAGGACGGCGGCCTCACTAGTCTACTGTACGTACATAGAGGCCCGGCGCGGGCGAGGCCCCCTTGATGTGCTGGGCGGCGGTGTGCATGGCTGCGGGGCCGATGTTCCCCGCCCCCCGTCCGTGCATCGTGCACTTCACCGCCTGGCTGCGGGCTCGCTGGGACACGTGCTGGGGACGTCTGTCCGGCGGGCCGTCGACGGTGACGGGCTCGGGCAGCGGTAACGAGGCACCCGTCGCGCCTGGGTGCGACTTCGTAGAGACGGGCGCAGTGCAGTCGGCAGAGGCTGGGAGGCGGGACACACACGAGGTGCACGCTCGCCCATCGTGCACACGCTGTCGCCGTGCAGCCCAATGCCAGGAGGTGTGGCGTGTGCCTGTCCGCCGGGGACGGGCGCACGCTGCACCTACTGGCCGCGGGCTGCCCCGACCGGGCGCGGGGCACCTCGAGACGCCCGCACACGCCCGCGACCTCCCCGCCGCCGCGCCGCCCACTCTGAGGACGCGTCGCTCAGCACCGTGCGAGGGCGGTCGACGCTCCATGTGTCGCGCCCGCGAGACGGTGCAGCGTCCGCGGGGCAAGTGCGCCGTGTCTCGTGTCCGCGGCGCCGACGGGCAAAACGGCCCAAATACCGACGAGGCCGTCGAGACGCAAAGTCGGCACCCGCCTCTGCAAACCACAGGGCCGTCGCAGGCGGTGCCCACGGCTGTGCCTGCAAAGTGGCGCGGCCCTGGGGGGCAGGACCGGCGTGGGGCGAGCGCGGGACGACTGGGTTCGGGCGGGCGCCCATGAAATCGGCCGTGGAGGCGCGGATTTTTTGTGCGCGGATCGCCCCGCGCTTGGGCAGGCGTGTGCGTCCTGGTGAGTGGAGTATGCGTTCCTGTTTTGGGGGGCGCACGACGCACCGTCGGAGCGCGAGGTGGATAGCATGGTGGGTGGCCGGGGTGCACGGGGCCGCCTAGGATGAATGAGGCGAGACGCGACCGTTGTGAGCGGTGGTACAGGTGGAGAGAGTCTGTGAGAGTGTACGTACCGAGTCTCGTGGTTGTGGGACGCGGGACGGGCCCGGGATGGCGGCGAGAAGTCAGAGTGTGGGCTGGGGCCTATGAAGTCGGCCGAATATGACGAGTTTTGTGGTGTCCTCGGATTGCGCGGAAAGGCGGTGTGTGTATGCGCCGAGGTTCGTGTACGGCTTTCGGTTCGTTTTGGAGTGCTCCCGGAGTGTTGTCGAAGCGTGAGGGGTACGCCGTGTCTGCGGGCTTGCCCGTGGACCGACGCGCGGTGCGCGTGCGAACGTCGTCGTAGGGCTCTGGAACTGCCGTGGGCGGTCGATGCGGGTCGGAAGAGCCTACGTGTGGACGTAGGGGCCTAGAGGATGGATGTGGCGAGCGCGAATCGCGTTTCTAGACGCGAGCGGGCTGAAAAAGCGACACTGTCAGCGCATTTCGCGAGGGCGGGGGCTGCAAACGCACCCGAACGACGTGCATATAGCGATGCAGCGATTCGTCGCAACATCGCGCGCGCCGGAGCGCAAATTGCGGCTGAGACGCAGATGGAGGTCGTCGGGAGGTCGCTGTCTCGTGCGCGAGATTGCGGGCGCAGGGCGTGGGCAGCGCCATCGCACGTGTAGAGGCGACGCGATGCGAGCTTGGCCGACATGCGTCTGTCGGTCTCGTGGCGGGAGTCGAGGTGTGCGGGCCGCGGGAAGCGTCCACGGGGAGCGTATGCGAGGCGCCTCTCCGGACATTGTGAGCGTAGATCGCGTCGGAGCGGGATGGGGCTTCGTCAGATTTGAGGTGAATGTGCTGTGCACGATTCCCCATAGATGCGAGACGGGCCAGCTACAGATTGAAGTCTGAGGGACGTCAGTGGGCGTCGGAATGGGCGGTGTATGTCGAATTATGGGCGCGGGACGCACGCGGCGGGTTTGCTCTTTTAAAGGGAGCATGTAGCACGACCGCTTCGCGTTGCCTGAGAATGTGAGGACGAGACGGGAAGTTTGAGTGATTCCGGAGGGTGTAAATGCGGGATAACTGGTCGTGTCGGACGGTCGCGTCCTAGATGACGGCGGCCAGTGTTGGCCAAGTGTACACAGAGGCGATGGGGGTGCAAAGAGAGCTCACCGCACGGGAGGGCGCAAGTGCGGGCGGGGGACAGGCGAGGGCAAGGCTTGAGATGGGCGGCAGGGAGCACTGCGCAGAGGACAGGCGAGAGGGCGTGGACAGACTGAGACGTCTGCGATCGGCGTCGCGAGCCCTGCCAAAGCTCGGCGTGGACGCACGTCTCAAGCACTGGCAGCGGCCATGACGTCGTGCCCTCTGAGCGCTTGAGCGCTGGTGTGAGCGGGGCGAGTGGGAGAGCGACCGGGCGGGCGCGTCTCAGGTCGTCTTCTTTGGTAGTGGCGGTGAAGTCGGGTACGCTCCTGTCCAGTGTCTCGCCGCCAGCCTGTGCGCCAGTGCAGCACCGCTCCCGCACGGCTCTCTCAATACCACCACCTCGCTGGCACCCATCTGCCGCCAGACGTCTTCCACGCACATCCAACGCCCCGCTGCGCCTCCGGACGCAGGCTCCACGGTGCTTATAACCTCTCCCGGCCAGTTGACGCCTCACGGACACGCCTCTCCGGTTGACCCTGTTCGACCACCCTGCTGGCCGCCGATTTTGAATAGCTTGCATACGTATACCTGGCGCGACGCCCGCCCGACGACACTCGACTAACGACTACTACGGACCGCGCAACTCGCCATGGCTGTGCTCTCGCTCCCGACCACATTCTCGAACTCGTTCTGGACGCAGGATTACCGGAAGGGCGTAGAGGTGCTGTATGGACAGCTGGAACAGAGCATTGGGGAGAACACTGAGATTGCGGCGTTCATTCGGGTGCGTGCAGCTATTGTGCTGCGTTACGACCGTGCTAACTAGGGTGCTCAGACGCGTGCCGCGGCAGAGCTTGCCATCGCTGCTCAACTGAATGCGCCCCCGCCTGCTCGTATGTTATGGCCTTCCAGAGTACTATATGCACGTCTGACGCGCTCACTTTATAGGCTCTGTGTTTGACGTCGACGATGGCGCGTCATTACTCATGGCGTTCAGAGGCCTGCGCGCGGAGGCTGCTACTGAGGGTGCTCTCCACGAGAGCGTCGCGAAGGAGCTTCAGACTGCAGTGGCTGAGCCCTTTGAGAAGTGGGCCGAGGGTATAAGGGTTTGTTCATCTGTCG